TATAATATATAATTATATAAATTTCAATAGTAGTTTTATAGTATATGATATTTCTCTAAATAAGAGTTCAAAAATATATTAGAAGAGTTGGCTTAGCCCACATATTGTATGTATAAAAAAATAAATTATATTTATTTTTATAATAATAATATTTTTTATATATTAATTAGAAAAATAAAATTATTTATCAATTAATATATTCATATCTCAAGTAGTTATATGATATAAGTTATAAAATTACTATAATATAATACATGTAAGTCGCACAAGTAACAAGTGTCATTCTAAACTATATAATAATATATATTTTTTGTTTAGAAGTAAATAAAATTTAATAAAATTTTCTCATTAAGTTTAAAATTTCAGAATAATTTTTTAACAAGCACTCGTGTAATGCACGGGTATTATACTATATTAATAAGAATTAAAGCAATTCAAATAAAGGAGTTGGGATGAGAAATAAGGTAATATTTTAAATAAGAGTAAATTAAAATTCGAATTGTTTAATTACCAATTTAAAAGGAGAGAGATAGATATTTAGGCCGAGACCATCTTCAAATTCCGAAGGCCAAGGCTAGTTCCTAGAAGACGGATTTCCTTCAACCCGGTGAAAGGTAACCCTAATAATTTCATAGTTTGTTTGCCTTTTGTTTCAAGTTATCGATCAAAATCAATAAAGCTAAACCTGATTTTTTTCGAAGACCATACCTTCAGTCGAATCTTATTTTCTATCCCTCTTGGATCACCAAAGCCCCAGTCTCAGCCCGCTAGGTGTCTCAGGCACAGTTGCGCGATGTGTGCGGGCGTTCCCAGGCACAACCACAACCGTGCGATGCTCGCGGGCGTTTCCATGCGCGACCTATATATTGAATCTGAGTGAATCAATAACTAGTCCTCCTATATATTGATTCAGAACGTGCTGAGCCCAAGTGGCAGGCTAGCATACTTCGAGATCTTATGTGGCAAAATTACATTCTTTGTTATTAGGCTTAGGTAAATTTTAATTTACTTTCAATCCAAAAATAATTAGATCCGAATTATCCATAAATATGTTGATTATTTATGCTCATGTTACAAGTATTAATTATATTTTACTATCATTTCTTATTATAACCACTGAATTATAAATGTATTTTAAATGTTAATAACTTTTGTATTTTTTTTTATTAGTTTTACATATATAATACATCAAATTAATCATCTCTTAATGTGCTTCGATTTAACATCCATATCGTATGTATAAAAAGATAAATTATATTTATTTTTAATAATAATAATATTTATATATTAATTAGAAAAATAAAATTATTTATCAATTATTATATTCATATTTCAAGTAGTTATATGATACAAGTTATAAAATTACTATAGTATAATACATGTAAGTCACAAAAGTAACAAGTGTCATTCAAAACTATATAATAATATATATTTTTTTGTAAAAACGTAAATAAAATTTAAAAAGGTTTACTCATTAATTTTAAAATTTCAGAATAATTTTTTAACAAGCACCCGTGTAATACACGGGTGTTGTACTAGTATTAATAAGAAATAAAGTAACTCAAATAAAGCAGTTGGGATGAGAATTAAGGTAAGATTTTAAATAAGAGTAAATTAAGATTTGAATTGTTAATTACCAATTTAAAAGGAGAGAGATGAGATATTTTTAGGGAAGACTCGGTCTTTCCGTTACCCCATGCCTCTCTCACATTTTCTTCTCCTAATCGATCGCATATCTTAGGTAGTTGCAACAAAATCCCGAGCTCTCTTTCTCCTCCTTTTTAAACTACAATCAATAGCCCTTCTCGACCAACACTTTCCCCTTTCTCATTCTCAAAAACTTTTTCAGTGGCTAAGGCAATAATTTTGGCGATCGAGAGTAGTCCATTAAGGCCAGACCATCTTCAAATTCCGGAGGCCAAGGCCAGTTCCTAGTAGACGGATTTCCTTCAACCCGGTGCAAGGTAACCCTAATAATTTCATAGTTTGCTTGACGTTTTGTTTCAAGTTCTCGATCAAATTCAATAAAGCTAAACCAAATTTTTTTGGAAGACCATGTTGGTGTTATATACTTAAGCTTTGCTTTAGTGGATATTACGCTTGTTATTTCTTGATGAATGAGAATTATGTTTGGTTAAATAAGTTCCATGTTCTGTTGTTTTGCATG